CACACACACACACACACAGAGCTGAACATTCACCTTCACTCAAATACCAAAGGAGGCTGGAATCAGAATCACTCCACCTTATCACTTAACCTCAGGCTGCTTGCTTTTTCTTCTGCTGATAGGCTAACAATACCTGGATACTTCCCAGGGGTTTCATTAGAGTTAATTAGCTCTAGTTGGCAAGGTGTGCGGTAATAAGTTTATTTCCTTCACTGTTGGACCTCTAACCAGCAGGTTCCCCAAGTTATTTAAGGGGAACCTACCCACTTTCAACTTAGTCACTAGGTTGACGCAATTTAACTGAGCAGCCGCTCAGGGATCACAGCCTTCCTACTTACCAGAAATATCGTACTGCGGTGAAACTTCCACAAGGTCACAGCCCACCACGTTCAGGCCTTGACAGCCTCGGATGATCTCCAGAGCCTGTCCAAGAGGAAAACCAGGTTGTCCCATGTGGACTTTTTACAGTGAGACCCAGCCCATTAGCAAGAGCTGCTCCCAACCCAGCGCCCACCCTTGTAGCTGGAAAGGTCAGCGTAGCTGGCGGCAGCCACAAGCGTGGGCCTCCCGGGACGCAAGCAAGGAGCGCACAGACAGCGTCACTGAGTCACAACTTGGAGAGGAGCAAGCCGCAAGCCCGTGGCTTCAGGGTCATGATGAAGGATGTTAAAAGTGACATCTGGAGAGCCAGGGGAAGGCTTCCCCGGCATGGAAAAGGGGCAGGCTAGAACAGGAAGGGTTCCAGGCAGGCAGAGGCACCACCACGGGAGCAGTTAGAGGTGCCCCAAGATCTGGATGGGGAAGGGATAGAGGCAGGGGGACCCTGCGAGGTCTGCAAGTCTCGTTCACTCTCCACCTCACCCCCGAGCCAGCACCGTCCTTGGCTCCAAGAATAGTGGGGGCGGGGAACCTCCAAAGGCTCCGCCCCACCCAGCTCGCTTGGAGCCATCACCCCGCCAACCCTGTGCCCTGTTCCGTGCTCGCACCCAGCGCACACTCTCAGGGCACCTTCTCGGGGCTAGGGCGCCGCCTTGGTAGCGAGGTAATCCCACTGTGTGTGCTTTTTAAAGTTAAACCTCAACAGGTACAGTTAGTGCTTTTATGGTTTCTATTTGGGTGCTGGGGATTGGATACAGGGTCCACATAAAACCTGCGCTTTACCACTGAGCTGCGTTCCAGCCCCAGGGCTGAATGCTCACTGGAGGGGGCAGCAGCCACGACAGCTCCTTCCCATGAGCCGACCACAGAGAGATATGCATATTCCAGAAAAGACAAGGGACAGCCGCCCAATTCAGCGCCCCTCCTACGGTATTCCAGCCTGAGGTCAGCATGAGAGCCGCTAAACCCGGGTGCCCTGGGAAGCTGAGGCGCTAAGTATCTCCACCCCACGGATCCACGGGGGAGCCTCCCTTACCTGGCTCGGGGTGAGACCAGCAATTTCAGGTGTCCCTGTCCCCGGCGCATAAGCGGGGTCCAAGGCATCGATGTCAAAGCTGATATACAGGGGTCTGCCCCCCATCTGCTGCCGCACTTCCGCCATGAGCGGGACCAGCGACTTGAACCAGCAGTCTTCAGCCAGGACCACCCGGAAGCCCTGGGAAGGAGTCCAGGACAAAAGGTCAAGGCAACTCCACACCAAGCCTGCCCTGTGCCCTTCATCTCTGGCTCTCGGCCTCCCTGGGGAGGACCTGCTGCCCCTATTTTTCAGGTGAGCTAAGGAAGCAGGGCCAGAGATAACCTGGGACCAGGGGGAAGCTTCCCTAAAGCAAGAGAGCCGCTGCAAGGCGTGGTTGCTTTCTGTTTCCCCAGCCCACAACAGCCTCAGCTTCCTGTCTGGCTTTCTGAACCTGATTAGTAAAGTTCAGGTGAAACCCATCGCGGCCACTGGGCAGGCAGTGCTTTGGAGAGGAAGGTGCTTTGGAGACAAGGGCGTTGGGGCTGACACCTGGCTCCGGTTGTAGCGGTAGGGCTCTAAGGTGGCGGCAGAGCCTCGGATGCCAATCTGCACCACCCGCTTGCAGTCCAGGAGTCCCTCGTCCACGCAGCGGCGGAAGGTCGCCCCATGGTAGAGCTTCTCCCCCAGGGCCTTGTCAGTCGTATCCGTGTGGGCGTCCACATGCAGCAGCCCCACAGGGCCATGCCTGGTGACAACAGGGCAGCTCAGAGGCCAAGCAACCCTGTGGGGCACTAAAATCTGACAACGGTTCATAGCCATGGCGGGAGACCAGGCCTCACCTACCAGCCTAACAAATCGCTCAGCATCTTAGAGGAGCCGGGCAGAAAACTTGTGCTTTAACTGCCACCCTGAATTGCTTCATGTGAGGTGGAGTAGAGGGAATGAGGACAATGACAAAGACAGTGAGGTGGTGGTTCATAGACGAGACTGGCCAGGACCAGTGCAGGACGGTTGCAAGCTTGAGGCCAGCCTACGCTACCTAGTCAGAGGCTGACTCAAAAAAACAAAATCGAAGACTGTGTGTACCCTGCCTGTCAGTAATTTGTATTTAGCCTTTGAGGCCAAAAAGAAACTAGCCAGGAAGGGTGTGAATGTCACTGGGGCTCATCTTCCCAAACAAAGTTGAAAAGGCTGAGCTCACAGTCCAGAAGAGAGCTGGGGCAGCAGAGGGGGCAGGGTGTTAAAAATGGCCCTGAATCCCAGCTGATGACTGACAGAGACACCTGGAGCCCGGCCTTCCTCTTAAGTTGCAGAAGCGACTTGGCTGGGAATTTCCAATCATCCCCTAATAACCTGGGAGCCTGAAGTGGCCCCCCAAAGCTACCCAGCAGCAAAGAACGGGTGCTGAGCTCCAGAATCCTGAAACCACTCTTGGCCAAGCCCTTGGGGACTCACTTTTCTGCCATTGCTTGCAATATGGGATATGTGATTGTGTGGTCACCACCTGCAGAGGGTAAAAAAAAAAAAAAGATCTAAATGTGGATAGATTATCACGTGGAAGGCCAGTGCTGTGGTGCCTGACTGTAGTCCCAGCTATTCAGGAGGCTGAGGTGGGAAGATCACTTCCGCCCTGGAGATTGAGACCAACCTGGGTAACATAGTGAGCC